GCCATAACTTCTAACACAACACAGAGATACCAATCACCGATGCACTGAGCTGTACATGTAAAATATTCAATGTTGTATATACAATATAACATCTTTTGTTATTACATTAACCAAAAGAATTTCTTTCAATTTTAGTATGTAAATAAAATTATTTCTAAATATTATAATAAACTTGAACACTTCAGCCCCCCTCCCCCTGCAACTCTGGCCAAGAAGCACTTAGAAGATGGATGAATGGATGGATGATAAACTTCCCAATGAAAAGCAGTTTTTAAAAATATTCAAAATTTTGAAAAGGAAACTAATTTTTGAAGCTCATAAAATAAAGCAGATGGGCCGACCTATGGGCAAGAGTAAGCGAACAGGACGCAGAGAAATTCCATAAAGGAAAAGGCCTGTTTCTTTGTCCCTGTTTCTTGTGGCTGTAAAACTTTGGCTACATTTAAGGGCAAACAGCTGTGGTTCGGTCCTATAGCCACTCTCGAAGGCTAGAAGGGTCACATCGCCATCAAAACCATAAATATTACCGTTGAAGGGAGATGGAGGTGTGTCTGTTATTTCCTCGAGTGTTTTCACTCATTTCCTGACACATTTCATTAGGCCATGAAACTCCCACAGTGATCTGAGCTTTCCTTAGATGGAGAAGGTCAAGCCAGTTCAAGCAAGAACACTATGGATACCTGCAGATAACAGCTATAGCATGTATAATTGAAATTGCTACACTCTCAGCTTACACACAGTTAATATTGGCCACGCTACGTCCAGGCTGTTTGCCAAACAGCACTAGCGTTTGAAAACTGTCACTTTCTCTGTCTCTCTGGCTCCCTGTCACATGATAAAGCCAACATGCTTCATTCACTTAATCAGCAGGCACTTTTTTTCACAACCGATGTTTTTGAGAAAGCAGGGTCAGACGGCCCCTGGGGCAACTAGGGGTTGAGGGCCTCACTCAAGGGCCCAACAATAAAGCCATTCTGCTGACCATGGGAACTGAAACAGCACCCGCCCAATCACAGCCACAGCATCCGAACCGGCTGAGCCGCACACCGACAAACACTCAAACACAATGTGCTGAAATAGCTCAGCTAGGCAATATTAGACTGAAGATCTAAAGGTCCCTGGTTTGATCTCAGGTTTCAGGTTTCAGTACAGAATATGATTCTTGCACATCCACCTGTCACTTTACTGGTAAATGTACACTATGTATGGTTATTTATCTTTATTGCGTAATGCTCATAGTTTACTGTTCAATGTAGTCATGAAGTTAAACAAGTTTTCCACTACAAGTACAACTGTATATGTGACAAATAAAACTTTGATTTAATTTTTAAATGAGCAGGTGGTGTAGATGAGTTATATCTTACTAAAGCTGCACTTATAGTTGGTACCAGCAATTCACACACTCTGGGAGCACCACCGTTTGTATTATAATTTAAAAAAATCACAGAACAACCTAACTCAGAATACTAGTTATTTCAATAATGGAGCTACTAGTTAAATAGTGGCTTTAAGTGATGTCATAATGAATAACTATGCATCTAACATTAATCTAACCTGGTTTCTACTTAAATAAAAAAAATAGGTTGTATTGACCGATTATTAAAAGGTCATACCAGAAGCGTTTTGGTTGCAACATCTTGTTCAATAAGCTATTAAGTAATTCAGTCACAGATTTGTTGAATTTTGAAAAATCTGCTCCTCAGATGGGCAGTAAGTGTAAAGGAGAGCGAATCATGAAGAGACTTTTTGTGTTGCGCTGGGATCGCCTCTGGACTGTCCTGCTGCTGCTGTCAGCTGAGCTGGCTCACTATTCAATACATGATGGGAAATAAAAGTGCAAAAAGTCTATGAACGGATTCTATCCTGGATTTTGTGCTTTGCACGTACATGCAGTTGCAGTTGTTTCTCTTTTTTCGCCCCCCAAGATCTTTCCTGCATGCGACTGGCAGCATCACGGTGTGTCAGCGTCCTCTACGCCAAACCGGTCGAACAGGAAGCCTTCAGCCTACGTGCGCCAATAGGCATGGCTGCGGTCACCGGCTCCCTCTCTTTGCTCGGGAGATTCGCATGGAGACGCATGGCTTCGCTGTGAAGTCTCTCAGCCAGCCTGTGCTTATGCGTGTGCATGTGTCTCATCGGTGAGCCCCACCAAGTCCAGGCAACAGCAGTTTCAAAGTCTTGCTCAGATGCTCGGGACCTCGATTGAGCACTGAAGGGTTATGGTCACATTGGCAAAATGGGGTGAATAATCCTTTAAACGGTAAGCAGGGGCATGGGAACCATGGGGGGACATTTACCCCCCCCCCCCCCCCAATATTTAAATGGGCTTCATTTGTCCTCTCCAAAAAGGTAAACCTTTACATTTTAATTATTCAATCATGTACCCCAACAATATCAAACTCTCTCCTACGCCCTTGTTGGTAAGACCTGGAGAACCTTTCAAACACAAAAATCTGATGTGTTACTTTGAAAAAGCTCCGTGAAACAGCACCATCTATATCATGTGATTGTAGAACAGATACAATCTGCCATGACAACAGGACTATGAAAAAACCACATGAATCTGAAAGGCAATTGCCCCAGGTTTCAGGAACATTCTCTGTTTAATATGGCTTTGGTATTACTAGCACAAACAGTAATAATAATCTAATTTCCACAGGTACAAATGACTATACAAAGTCTCTTTATATATATAAGGGAATCATCATGAGAGTGTCTAGTGATATTCCTGCTCACTTCCTTTGTTTCTGTTTGGTTTAAAAGTAGAAAGCACAGATGGAGACAATAACATGCCCTTTTGAGAGAGGATATGAAATGTGTTTATTCTAAGAACAGGAAGACACCACCGGAATTAACTGTCCCTGCTCCGTCTGCAGGCACAGGACTTAGGAGGAGGATTCGGCTGTGATGTGTGGGCCTCCTGTAGCGGCATTTGCAGCTTGATTTGGAAAGAAGGGCATGATACTGAAGATATTAATCCCCCCCCAAACTTTTGGACAGTGATGAAGGGGTGCAGGAGCTAAGCTAAACGCTAACTGGGACATGATTTCTGCAGATCAGACAGTGAAAAATGTTGTGAAGAAAAGAAAAGATGGAAAAACACTGCAAAACACGGCGGTGAAAATACTGGTTTAAAAAGGTTAAATGCAGGCCAAACAGAGGAAGCCCAAATTAGACAAGAGGAACCACACGATCAAACAGGAACAGAATATACATAGAACTACAAAGCACTAAAGGAAGAATACACAGGATTACTCTCAAATGTTAAACTAGTCGATTTGAGTTCTCACACTTAATCAAAATGACAAATGTTCTTCAATTCTTTATGGATAGCCAATCAGTCAAGCTGCCAAAAAAAAATCATTTTTAAAATAGATAGAATGATTTACTACAAATTTCCTTTTCAGAATAAATTCACTTCTGGTGATTTTACATTGAAATTAGATTTCTTCTGCCGATTATGCACTCTTAAAAAGCGGGACTTCACTTTAAATAGCTCTTGTTTAATATCAAGCTATCATTCTCTGTCATTCTGGATAATTCTGTTTTCAGATTTTTGCAACAAATGATCTCCAAAGAATAAAACATTTACATTTACATCTTAAACAGCATCCCCCAAATGACTGTATTTCTCAAAATGTAGATATTATTTTGCATTTTAGTTTGTTAAGTCTGGCATATTTTAAGGCATGCAGTGAAAATCACTGCTGAAAACACATGCATTTGATGCACCACACTGTACATTGGTGGATCTCTCCTGGTGGTACGTGAACTCCTGCTAATATTGATGTCTAATCAGACATGTGCCATTGGTTGTATCTGTGAGGTACAACAGTTCTTGGAAGTACATTTAATGCCATAATGAGAGCATAATGAGTTACAGAACACAATGTGTTATAATATATTACTACATCTGTCAACAGTGAGGTACAGAGCACCCCCCCCCCCAAAAAAAAAAAAAAAAAAAAACTAAACCACATATGTTTATAAAATATAATGTTAAGTGTGTTACTCTTGGTGTAATGATGGATTTTTGCCAGTGAGGGATCACTGACGTGTTTTTGCTAAAGAGACCTTTGGGATGAAGTGCCACGGGGACCAGAGAGATGAGCAAACCCCTTTTTCAGGGTTCAAACATTTTCTTAAGAACATTCTGCCTAATTTGCACTCTGGGATGTGGGCAATGGCTCAGCATGCATGATAGCTTGTGTTTTCTTAAAAAGAATGATCTCTTTCTGTGAGGCTTCTTTATATGTCTATATAACTGCTAAATGAATCATATAAGGCAGTATGACAGGATGTGAATTACCTGAATTACCATTGTGACTGGAAAGCATCATTTGTAATGGTTTGGGCTCTTTTACACGCAACCAATGAAATTGTGGTTAATATGGCTTTATTCTGCAAATATGTTCATTGAAACCCAGTGGTGATCTCAGAAAAATCCCCTTTAATGCAATTTACTACGCCAATACTTTAAATATCCATACAGCCATTTGCTAATTATCGCAGAGAATACTGGTAATATGTCCTTGCAATCAACCAGTTAAACAAGCAAGCAAACTCGCAAATAAACTAACGTACACATTTCTTTCAAATATACACATTCACCATATCATTTACACTGAAAACTGTAAGGCCATTTATTTGTTCATCTGTTATTATTGAATGAGGCATGAAATTGTTATCATTTTGCCAACTGCATCTGTATATCTTTGGGAATTTCATTTTGACAGACCGCTGTCACGAAGCTATTGGAAATATGTACGAAGAACCACCAGAATATTCAGTCTGACTTGATAATATAATTCAATGGTATATTTTAATATTGTCAAAGTATATTTATATGTATTTTAAAAAATCAAATATATCAAAAAAGCTCTTCTGCAAACGCGACATTATAGTGATTTAAAGATTGATGAAAGCTCATTGGCCCGCCGCGTAGAAATCCCGAGGGAACGCAGAGACGCGGCGTTTATAAAGCAGGAGAGCGCAGCTAAGGGGCAGTGGGAAGATCCGGAGCGGAGACTGCAGCACTGCCCGTCCGACGGGCATCCAGCTGTGCGCGGAGTAACTTAAACAAACATAGGAATGTACAGATTTTACAATGCCCAGTGTCTGGAAAGCTCAGAGGAATACTAGACTGGAATAACTGTTTAGTGGTCCCCAAAGGACAAACGACAAAAGTACATTATAGAAACCAAGGTAAGTTATTCATTTTCACCCAAACGCTGCTCGGAGTATTGGCTTATCAATACTGCCAACGTTAATATCTTTAACGTGTTTATTCAGTGCATTATTCTAGAAAAAAGGCAATAAATCAATACAGCCTCGGTAATGTTATTATTTAAAAATATATTTAAGGTGAAGCAACATAGATTTGAATAGAACTCATCTTGTAATAGGGTCGAAAGTGACCGTAGGCAGCAAAATTACAATGCAAAGCGGACTTCATGGTATGAAACTTTGCATGACTAAATACGCATTAGAAGATTTTTAAGTACAAAATTTGATTTCCTTAAAAGTTATTTAGCTGTAGTCATTTTGCGCATGACGCATATTGCTAAATTTAATTTAGGTCCATGTAACATGTTTTAATTCCTTTATGGACTTATCTAATTTATTCATATCTCATACTTCGTCTCCGGGCGAAGGTGAACTGGGCAAGTCTGACTGCGCAACTCAGAGCCAGATTCTAATATGTGTGAGACTTGGGAATCTTAATATTACATGGCAGCACTTCGTTAATACTGATTGTAAACTTATTATTGCCTTGGATGATATTAGACTTTCGTAAAATAAATTATCCTCTTAAATCCCTCACACCGTTAAAGATCTTTGAACTTGATAAATTAAAACACCTATAGATCCAAATCTGATAAAGGGCTTCGAAATTCAATCCTCTGCCGTGTATAATTGACATCAACAATGTGAAAAATAATGAAGGCAAACAATCAGTTCGCACACTGCAGAGAATATAGTAAAACTGCAGAGAACATTTGCAAAACTGAGTAACCGACACTTGCCAATGAAACTTAAAATACCGGAAGAGAACGAACCGCAAACTGAGGGTTATATTAATAAAGCACATTTTTAAAATTAGTTGCAGGCACATAATGCAAAACAAAAGCATTTATTCCGCAGCACATAGGCCTATTTTATCACCGAATTAGTACCTATACTTAGTATACCCAATAACTGGTTATTTTCGATTTTTCGTCGTGTATATATTTAATCTTGGTTTGGCATGTGTTTTCTGCGCATTTCAAACCGTTTATAAGTAATTATAACACCGACCCAAAATTGTTAAAGGGTTACACAATATGGCATGTAATTGCATTTGATGCATTCCATAAAGAAACCATACATAAGCATTCGTTGTAACATAATATTACTTTTTATTATGAAATAATGTGATAAATTGGTCGCTGTGAGCATTTGCTACTTGAAAATTCCATTAATATTGCGGCAGTGTAGCTAAAATGACTTTACGTTTATTTAGTCCGGTAAAAGTTTGTTAATATTTGTATTATTATTTTTTTAAATATTATTATTATGCATCTCAGGGGCGTTCCTAGAGATTTTGGGCCCCATGAAAGCATATCATATTAGGCCCCCCAGTCCAAACCAATCCAGTTATTTTCCTAATTTTTTAGGGCCCCTGTCACTCAGGGGCCCTTGGAATCGTCCTAGCTTTCCTCCCCTTACGGTGCCCCTGATGCATCTTATGAGAAAAAAAGAAGAAAAAGTGTAAGAAATTTAAACTAACACCCATCTATGAGATATGCACCAACAAGCGGGCGGTTGTTACTGTGATAAGGGGACACGTGGTATTAAGGTGCGCTTATTTGCAAGATTAATATTAAATGACCCTGAAGATGGAGCGTGCCTTCCCAAATTCATATTTATAGTCTACCAGCTTCTCTAAACATTAGCAAACCCCGAAAAAAAACCGAAATAATAACATAATACTGAAAATATGGAAATGTCTCGCAGTAAAAGTGACAGTAAATTAAGTCCAAGGCAGCCTAATCAAATTCAAGCCATTTCGGTCTTCGCTGTTCTTCCAGACCTCTTGCAAAATGTTTTGCAGCGTTAACCCCGTTGCACAAACCTCAGACGTTTGCTTAATGGACACTGCCATAGCCCACAGGAGAAATGCAATCAACAGGCTGACAGCATTCCAGTACTTCACTAAATAACTGCCGGCAGTTGAAGTGGAATCACTGCTGTTCCAGTTTGCTTCTGCACTCTCATTTGCGACAACTGATGCTCTGGAACTGAAGTTTCAGATAGAACAAATTTGAAGACACGTAGTCATATGGACTAAACACAACTTTGTTTGTCTCTAAGTGTGCTGTCATTGAATAAAAACAGTTAATTGTAATTTGTGACTCCCTGGGGATTTCACTGGGCTTTTGACCACTTTGCGTTTCCAGCTGTAGAAGTTCCAAGAGTTTATAAAGGCACAGGGGGCTCCAAGGCACAGGGTTAGTTAGAATGCCTACCATATAGCGCCACTCACACGTCAGAGCGGTGACGGTCATGCTAATAAAAGACTAATGATTCTCATTGGCCGCTTTCCGCTGCCGTATTCCTTTGCCAGTAAGGCATCTCCCAGTTATTATACAACATTCAAAGCTGACACTCTGAGCAGCGTCTGAGAGCGATGAATATTGCACAAGGTTACGGCCTTAACGTGCAGAAGGACTGAACGCGAAATCTTGAAGATGCTAGTGGATTGCAGGCTACATTGTATTCATTTTTCTTTTTTCCAAAGTAACGTGCAACTGAGAAAGCAGGGCCAGCCAGCCCCTGGAGCAGTTGTGGTTAAGGCTTTTGCTTACGCAGTCGATGGTGAAATTCATCTGCCAACCATGAGATTTGAACCAACAACCTACTGATCATGGGCCTAACCCACAGAGCCACATGTGACTACACCTGACCTGATACACAGACATATGTAGGTCAGAGAGAAACTGAACCATTAAAAAGCCTGATTCATAAGGCCAGACCTGCTGAGACCTGACTACCTTCTGCCATAGTAGAATCACTGGTAATAACACTGGATTCTGTTGTTTGGTATTTTCCTTTGGTAGGTGAATTGTTCAAACACTTTTATATGGAGCACAGACCCAGATGTATGCCCATATATGGTGTAATACAGAGGAAAAACAATGTGTTTCTCTTAGTTTAATCCTTAGATTAGTTTTTTCCTCTTTAATTGTATGGATTTCTGCCGAGGCTTATCCAGGCATTACCCTTGTTTTCAGCCACCCTGCACCTCCCTCTCACCCACAAACAAGCCCTTCCTTTGGGTCATACCTTCTCCTGACACCACTAATCCAAACAAATGCAAGCTGCTTGTTTTTCACACGGGGAAACATCTGCGTTCAATATCAGCCTTATCAAATGCGGACACGGACCACGTGCGAGAAGAAGCCGCGTCAAACTCGAGCAGATAAGGCAGATCGACTGTGGAGTTATGGAGTCAAAGCTAATCTCAATGTCAGCAGTTTGGATAGTGAAGAAAAAAACTCTAGAGTTTTCATTCTAGAAAACATTATGCATGGAGGTGTGTATTACTCAAATGGGACAATAAAGACTTCCTCTTCATTCTTACAATGAATATCTTCAAGAGCACTACTATGTTGTGATAAATTATAGCTGCCTTTAGTTCAGTTAGACCCAGGATAGTGAGTTGTCTATTAAATCTCATTAGTAAAACATTCTTGTGTGACTACATCCAGAGTAGACTCAGAAGAGCCAGGCCAATGTGAACTGCCATAGAGTTGAACTTCCTTTGAAAGAAGTTGTTTTGTATGAGGGCTTCTCAGCAGTAGATAAGAGCCTTTCCTATCGATACTGGAGCTGCTAAAACAATAGTAAACTTTCAAGAAAGCTGGATTTTGTCCTGGGGCTACTGTCAAAGTGCCTAATGCTCCAATCAGTGATGTCATACCTGACCAGCCTTGCATGGTCTGTGTGGAATCGTCGTACGTCCCCATGGTGCCTGAGACTCCAGCGTGTCTGTGTCTCCAGGGAGCCTGTCTTCTGCCGAGACAAGCTATCGCATTTAGTTGAGGTTGTGACCCCCCTCATCCACAAGCCTGTGTCTATTGCCAATGTCAGAGTACATCCAGAGCCCCGGGGGCCATTAAAGAGTCTTTCTGGCTGACCTTGTCAGCCACAGGTGCATGAGACATTAGCTTGTTGATGGCTGCTTCCCTCTAGCAAGGGGTCACAGTCTGAAATTCTCCCTGGAGAAAAGGGGAGAGGAAAGTGAAGATGGCTGGTGTCAACACCGCATGTAACGAATCATGAACTCAACCGCCCTTGAGGAGCAGAACTAGCTGTGGAAGTGGAGCGTGGGAGAGCTGAGAGTTTTCCAGAATCAGCGGTGATGGATAGAGCTTAAATGCACAAGATCTATTAGTAGATTGTGTTTTCCCCTCCGATTCGTGAAGACGTGTACGATGTCTTTAGATGCTGGTCTTTGGTCTTCTGTGATACGATCACAGTGGTTTCACAGACTTTCTTGGGGCTTAATGGACAGAAAAATAATCATGCGTGCCGTTACACCCGTTGTCTCTTGCGTTTAGTCATTTTGCCACCAGTCTAAACGCTGCCTGCAGATGTTTCATCGGGGTCAATTGTCCCATTGATACAGCCCAAGGCTGCGGAGTAGGACCAGCCAACGTGACCGGCGGTGCCCCCTACAGCCTGAAAACAACTCCTGGCAAACAATGTCTGTCTCATGACTGCCCTCATGGGAGCAGGCCATGAAGAGGAGTACTGCTGGGGGCAGAGCAGCATTTGTTTGGCGGGGGGGCGGGGGGTGGGATGAAGGGACTCTTCACACTGAACTTTAAATACCCCCGCAGGCAATTAGTGAGATACTGAGGGGCAGTAAGTGCCATATTACTGATCCAATGATGCATTCAGTACCAACTCCATAAACCGCAGTAATGCAATTATATAGTGAGTCTGCATCTTACGCGGTTTTGAATGATCGTGGTTCTGTTCTTTATCATACTCTACTGTGCATGTACAACGTTTTTTGTAATTTTTCCCTAAACAATATATTATAAAAACTACTATACTGCCAGGCATATTGTGTGCAATCGAGGTCTATATGTTATGTCTCAGTATGATTATGTAATATAAAATTCTAATTCTAAGTTTCCTGGACAAAACCATTTATCATGTGAATCACATAACATTGATATTGGCGTAGCACAGAGGTTTGATCAAAGAAACTTCCCCGTCTTATAATTTGATACTGCTTTAAGAATTAAAGTAGTATTCTTGAGAGTACAGGAGTTGGTTCCCTCTGATTATGTACCTGTAAAAATCTTCCGCCCCACAGGTCAGTCTGAAGCGGCTCCTCCGTCACCCCGTCAGAGAATGAAAATCGCCGTGCTCCTCTGCCTCCTGGTGGCCGGGACAGGGGCTGCGCAGTTCGCCAATGGCATCACGGCGAGCACCTTAATGGAGGCTCCCGTTGCCCCGAGCAACGCTTCCCAGTCTGAAGTTCCAGCGGCGAGGCCCGCCTCTCCCCGGGCCCCCTATCCACCAATGTGTGTCAAGCAAACTGAGATCAAGCACGCCTTCAAGTACGTCAACACAGTGGTGTCCTGTCTGATCTTCGTGGTGGGCATCATTGGGAACTCGACCCTGCTGCGCATTATCTACAAGAACAAGTGCATGCGGAACGGGCCCAATGTGCTCATTGCCAGCCTGGCCCTAGGGGACCTGCTCTACATCCTCATCGCCATTCCTGTCAATGTCTTTAAGGTAAAACCAGCTCCTTCTCAAAGCCCCTTTAGGGGCAGCTATTGTATGTCGTTACATAGGTGCCAAATCTTGATCCTACATATGAAAAGCTCTCAACCACACAACCTCACCACGCCTTGTCAGTCTTGAATGCCAAAACCTGGATCATCCAGGTAAACACAATTTTCCTGGTTTAGAGGGAATTAAAAAGGTGGGGCCTGGTTTCTAGTCTCTGCCGGGGGGTTCCATGTGTGTGGAGTTTGCATGTTCTCACTGTGTTGTTGTGGGGTTACCTCCAGGTACTCCAGTTTGCCCCCCGCAGTCCAAAAATATGCTGAGATTAATTGGAGTTACCAAATTGTGTGAGTCTGTCCTGTGGTGGGTTGGTGCCCCATCCTGGGTTGTTTCCTGCCTTGTGTCCATGGGCTCTATGACCCTGAATAGGACAAGTGGTTTTGAAAAATGGATGGATGGATGGATGGATGGATAGAATTAAATACATGTGTTGAGTTTGGTCACTGAAGTGTTACTGGGAAGCACATTTGACCTTAGGGTGACAAGTCTGACTTTGGAAAGGAGCTGAAGATAAAATGAGTAACTGCATTGAGTCCAGACTTGACAACAAGAATTTAAATTGGGTAGTAGGTCCACATCCTGTCTTGATCTTCTTGCTTAAGAATACTTAGTAGAAAGGTAGTTTGTCTTTCAGAGATCAAAGACTGCATCCTCCCTTGGTTGTTTTTCCTAATCTCTGGTTGGGTGCTCCACCCTCATCATGGGACAGGCGTAGTCAGGCAACCAAAGAAGGCTGATTCTTAAGAGCCACAATAACCCCACTAACCCCTAAATTCAGAATCATCTTTTAATCACTAGCTCGCTGCCCTTAATTAATACGGAAAGCAAGAAAAATAAAAGCAGAAAATACAAAGGATATAAAACAACATTGATTTAAGCTTATCCCAGAAACCAAGGAAGCAGATGTATTGTATTGTTTCTATGCGCTCCATTAGACATTTGGAATTTGACAGAAATACTATGAACCTTGAAGGCATTCGGCTTGCAACATGGGGTATTCCACTTGACCTCATTTCTTTTCAGTACACATGATATATTACATATTGAGTGCATTTGCTTGTTAAAGCAGACAAACTCCTCATTAGCACTTTAAAAAACGCAATAGCACCATTTTGTGAAACATGACAGTGAATCCCCATCTAGTTAGAAACAAATATGCATTGTACTGTTGAATAAGAAAAAAATATCGCATTTCATGCATACCAGCAGTATTTGTACAGGTTACTATGTCAAGATTAGAAAGTTTAAGTGCAAATGACTGATGCCCGTGATGTGATCTCGCTCCTTCTGTCCCTAGCTGCTTGCTGAAGACTGGCCATTCGGGGTGCACGTCTGCAAACTCATGCCATTTGTCCAGAAGGCTTCTGTAGGCATTACTGTGCTCAGCTTGTGTGCCCTCAGCATTGACCGGTGAGCGTGATAAAATGTCACCTGTGGGTTTGGGTGTACTCTTAGCATGTCTAGCGTATCTTATCATAGTGCGACAGATGTGTACTTGAATTTCTGTCTTCACTCACTGAAAATATCCCAACCTGAAAGTCGAGCCAAGGAGCGTGATGACCAAGCCACTGTTGGCCTGCCTGCCCACAGATACCACGCAGTGACATCCTGGAGCCGGGTGAAGGGCATCGGCATCCCGTTGTGGAAGGCAGTGGAGGTGACACTGATCTGGGTGGTGGCGGTTGTCTTAGCTGTGCCGGAAGTGCTGGCCTTTGACATGATGGAGATGCCCTACCGCGGGACCAAGCTGCGTGTATGCCTTCTGCATCCGCAGCAGAGCACACCCTTCATGAAGGTACGGGCTCCATATGCCCTTATCTAAGTACCTGTATACATTTAGCTTTGTAGCACTTACCCAAAGCCCAATGAACTTCGTATTTTACCAGCAGCAATTAAGTTTCGACAGGGGACCCGTCCGTCAAAACACAGAGTACAAAGACAGCTGACATAGCTTTACTATGTGTGATCTAGTCCTAATTTGCTTCATAAAAGATTACATGCTGCGTGAAGAAGGACATTAAAAAGAAACATAACAACAAGCTTAGAAACAAAACCCCCTTGTTCTATTTAACATTTCAACATCTCAAACTGGCAGAGACATGCGATGCTTTGACCAGCCCGGAACAGAGGGCTGATGCAGTTTTACTGATTTGTCACCAATTCAAGATGTCTGATGTAATTACACCCACAAGTCATAGCAACTGAACCACAAACCCTGAGTACCACTGAACTCGAGTCGCAGGCAGCGAGACCTGACATGGTCTCCTTCTCTCTGCAGTTCTACCAGGATGTGAAGGACTGGTGGCTCTTTGGCTTCTACTTCTGCCTTCCCCTGGCCTGCACGGGAGTCTTCTACACCCTGATGTCCTGCGAAATGCTCAGCCGCAAGAAGGGAATGCGCATAGCCCTCAACGACCACATGAAGCAGGTACTGATCCCGTTGCCAGGAAAAGGGAAGACCGACTCAGTGTCACTAGCTACAAGACTTCAGGGAACTCTGTAAGTCTTGGGTGGTTTTTAGATTTACAGCAGACGGCCCACTTGTGGAATTTAAACATAAAAACGTCTTATGTAGACAATGTTGCAAATGGGCGGGGGGTTTGAAAGCCATTGAAAGAGCCAGTTAGCGGGATCTGTGTCTGGGAGGTTGTGGGTTTGAAGCTTAAGGCTGGCTGAGTAATTAAAGGACTGTTGGGCCCTTATCTCCGAGATGCTGGCTGACGCGACTCTCTGACCCCAAAGCTTTCCTCACTTGTATGTTATTTTGAACAACAGCATATGCTGAATACTTGTAAATGTAAGGTCAGAGGCCTGGTGTTTTCACTAACAGTGAAGGACTGAAGCTACATTAGACATTGTTCCAAACAAGAACTCTGTGGTCAAATTTTCCAGTTTACTTTTGGTTACGTAGCTTAGCGGCATAGCTGTTCAAAATCCTTAAAAGGCTGTTGTCTTAATTAACCATAATCAATCTTTAAATCCTTCGCCAGCTATCCCGGGGCAACTGGCCTCCATTATGTTTCATTTAGCTCCATTACGGGGGACCATCTTAAACTGTAATTTTAGCCATGGCTTAAGAAATCCTTCTTAAAACCTTGCCAGAGCCTTGTTCCTTGCGGGCACTTTGACCTAAATTATTCAAGTGACAACTGAGAAAAACAAACTACATGTGTAGAGACAGCAGCTACAAATATGGGAATCACACACAAAATAAATATCACACAAATTCAAAACAAAAATAGTTGGAAACTCAGTCTGAGCCAAAGAAAAACATGCTGGCTTTGACCACAAGCTGGATTCCTTCTTGTGGTCTTTGACGAGGTGCCAGTTCAGCATCTGTGTTCACTGGGATGCAAAGAAGAAAACACGCTTCCTCTCTCTATACATCATCGTTGAAGTGCATCCGATTTTATGAAGTTGGTATTTAGTGAAAGCTGAGAATTGATCCCCGGCAAATCGATTTAGCCTCTCATAGTTAGGCTGGACAGTAGCGGAGAAAGATCAGAAGAAGCCAGATTCCACCAAAAGCCCATTGAGATGAACCCTGATATTGACTTCACTTAATTCTTCTCTAGCGTCGAGAGGTGGCCAAAACCGTATTCTGCCTTGTGGTGATCTTCGCCCTGTGCTGGCTCCCTCTCCACCTCAGCCGAATCCTAAAAAAGACAGTCTACAACCAGAACGACCCGAACCGATGTGAACTCCTAAGGTAAGAGCACTTCTTCTTATGTCCCATGAAGGACCATTCTACGTCATACCCTCAAGAATTTGTGCAAAGTCTGCTTCAAGACCTGATAGAATCAGGAAATTCTTCTACAATCTCGTGCAACTCAAACTGCAATGCTGACCTTCTGGTCTCCACTTCTGTCTGAATTTATCTTCTTCCCAACCAGTTTCCTGCTGGTGATGGATTACATCGGTATCAACATGGCTTCCCTAAATTCTTGTATCAATCCTGTGGCACTATACTTTGTGAGCCAGAAGTTTAAAAATTGCTTCCAGGTAAGGCCGAGAGAGAGACTTTCTTAGTGGTACTGAAAGACGGAGACAAATATCTGTTTGAGGCTTTGGCATCTTCTGAAATGTCTTTTACCTCCCACCCAGTCTTGCCTGTGCTGTTGGTGCCAGAGACCATCAAGAAACATCTCATCCACAGACGAAAGGATTATGGGCGTGCGCTGGAAGGGATACTGCCACGAGCACGGCCTGGATCGGACCAGTTCTCGGTCTAGTCAGAAGTACAGCTCCTCCTAAGAACAAAGCACCTGGGCTGACTGGGACAGAAAGTGGGAAGATGGTCAAACAGCAAAATCCATGCCAGCCCAGTCTAAACACTGCTAGACACGAGGGCTTCTGCTGTGTCACAGCCACACTGAAGGGGACAGGGGGACAAATGTGAATAACTGGAACCACCAATCCAAGCAGCAAATAAATGCATCTACAGTCTGCATCTCTCTACCCAGAGACATTGTTTCCTTGCGACACCTTAAAGAAGATTTACACACACATACGGAAAACCTAGTGTGTCTCCAACAAAGACACTTAGAGCATGACTGTGTTTAAGCAGAAGATGATTGCAGAAGAGCACACTGGCTGGGCCTGTGCAAGTCTGCGGACAGCAGGCCCAAGGTGAACCTGGAACACTGTGACATCACCTCCATGGGAGAAATATAAGCTTTAGCCATTTTTATGAATGGACAACTTTATTTGAATTTCAGTATTACAGAGTTTCTTATGTACATACCGTATTGATATATACTTCTAAACAAATGTATCTTTGTTGAATAGTTCATTGGAAAATGACACCAAAGACAAGAAGACATAGTTCAGGAGAAGATCTTCTACCAACTAGCCGCCACTATATATATTTTTTTGTTTCAGAATTTGAATTAGTTGACTTTAACCATAATGCTGTGGGTATACAGATCAAAGCTGATGCCTTCCCCAACGAAAATGACCTTTCATGATAAGAATGTTTCGTATCTGTATTATGTTGGCTCACATTCTGAACAGTATGGATTTTATTTATTTACAATTATCAGGCAACTTCAGCCCCAACATCTGGAACTGAAGCAGTAATGTATTAAGCACCGATGATTGTGGCTGAGAGTCTGTTTATTTTCTAGAATTTTCATGGCGGACTGAGGGAGTCTGACACAGAAAACACGCAAACCTCTCAAGCTCCATGAGTAATTGTTTATTAATAGCATTTGCAAATTAAAATATATCCAAAAATGTGTTTGAATCTTTATGCCAGTATATTCCACTTAATCTGAACGAAATCCTGAACTCCTAATGTTTTCATTTAGGTTTGTTCAATGAAGATCTACTGTACATATGTACATATTAAATATCACTTTTCCCAATCAAGTATTTCATCTATTGCAATGGTACAAATTTTTTTTTATTGAATTTCTAAGGAGACATTAAATATAAAAAGATGTGATTTGCTGAAAAAATATATATATAAACATTTATAAAGATATACCTATATGTCTGTACATACGTCTGTACTTTCATGTGAGATATCACTGCCAGCTATATGATTAAATTTTGTCTAAATGCCCTTCCAGATTTTATGTTATGTAAAACTATGTTCACAAGCTTAGCATTTCATTGTTGTGTGAAGGGTTAACACCGTGTGTCTGTTCTAAAAACAAGTTTTGAATATAAGCAAAGCTTTTTATACTGTACCTAGTTGTTGGCCAATAGAGCAAATAAATGCTATTTTATCATTTTGTGTCTCAGATTTACTCTTGGCGTGGCTGTGTGGAAAAAAAATCAACATTCCAAACGTGTTAAAGAAAGTCAGCGAAGCACTCTCACAGACACGGAGCAGAGACGCTCCGTCCAGATTCACCAAGCAATGGGAACCCGATTGAATCAAGCCAACTCAAATACGAGGTTTTCACGCCTTCACTGTTCTGGGAAAGCCTTGCAGCTGACCAGGCGAAGGCTAGCAGGCTACATCTAATCTACATTTAGCTGACCTGTACCGAGAGTGAGCTGTAACCTGGCTATCATGTTAGGGTCGGCACTGACCCAAGTTTAAAATGCATAAAAGCACCACATAGATTTGTGTACTGCATCAAGGCTTTTTGACTTTGTCAGGAATCTCTATTTAAACAAAATAAATTAAAAAATTTTTTTTTTTTTTACTAGGCAAGGCATGCCCATACATGTAAGGCAAGACAAGACCAATTCAGTTTATTTATATAATTCACCTGAGGTGTATTTACCATTATTTTTTATTGAAAACGAGAGGCATGCTGTCAAAAGAAAGGTCCAGAAAGCCACACCAAAAATATTAAAACCAATCTTTTCATGAATAAGGAAGCCTAACAAGGTAATCAAGAGGTAAGAAACAAATTGGATGATAAATAATTGTTCTGAGGGTATTTTACGGCTGGTATAAGACACGGGTCGGCACCAACCCGTCTAACATAAGAGATAGGAACAGAAAGCTAACTTAGGACTAAGGTTGTATTCAGCACAAGCAAATATTTAAGTATCCCAAATGCAGAGCGCCGATGACTAATGAACGTTCTCCAAAAAAACAAACCATAGCGATGGCAGAACAGGAACCGGCAAATCAATCAACAAATGATGAATGAATAATGACAATGAACATATACAAAGATCATGTCAATGCAATGTATATCATTTTTAATAATAAACAACAAAAAATGCGTACAGGCTGCAAGGACCCTGCAGCTGTGACCATGGAGCCCTGTGTCGACCTACAGAAGGCCTATTGATCAGAATAAAGAACCTCATGGTCCTTCTTTTGCCCTCAAATGAGCCTCTCAGACAATGCACCATTTGAACTCCACCCCCCCCCCATGACTAATTTAATTAAGTCTCATGCATGGCCCCAAAAATACTGTTAAGGGGAAAAGCTAACTGAATGGGCTGAGGAATGGACAATGCAGAGTTCCATTGTGCTGTGTTGCATGTTTGCCCGACGTCAACAACATAGCTTCACCCAAGGTAGAGGTTTCATTTCCAGCTTTCCTGGGGGGTATTCCAAGAAGAAGGATTTCTTGCTTAGCTAGATAACTACTTGGATTTAAGGTAGTCTGGGCAAAATGGACTTTATTTTCATTCCCTTACATTTAGCCAAGACTACCTTAAATCCGACAAGTTATCCAGCTAAGCAAGAAATCCTGTTTCGTGGAACAGTCCTCTGCTCTGCTACTTCTCTTCTCCTCTTAACTTCTCCTCCCACAGGCTGGTCAGTGTTTGAAATTAGACAACTTGGTATAGTAGAGATATGGCGTCAAAGATGCAGAACTTCTACATTTTGGATGTCTTCTGAAACTCAGCCAACTGACCTCAAAAAATATCAGATGATTTACAGTAAGGTATTATGGGCGCATCTGTGCATAAGCTAAACATCTCAAAAAGCAGTAAAACAGTCCTTTAAATGTATTCATGCCTCACAAAAGTATCAACACATCTGCTGTTACAGATACCTGGTTGGACTCCAAACATGCTCCATTAAGTTTTCAGTTCAACATCACTGATCCTTAACCTACAAGTGAAGGACCTGAGAGAACCAAAAAAACATACTAAAAATATGTAAGACTACCTAGACACCAAAAATGCCATGTTTCCGAAAATTCCATCAAGGCTGTGTGACATCAGACAATCTCACAATTTCAGGTATGAACAAATTAAAATCCCATCTTTTTTGACCACATGTACCCTTGCCATCAAACCTCCACAATATTTAAAAAAATAATAATAAAAAAAAGAAATTCTTGTCAGAATATATTTCAGTCCTCGGATCCAGACTATATCCCAATTATACTCAAAAAATTGCTTCCTTTAAAAGATTTGTGTGTGCGTGTATTAATTGCTTTCTATGCCTTTTTTCCCCCCCCCAAGACTGACCTGTGAGTTATTTTGGAAAAAAATACCATCCAAGCAAACATAAAAGCAACAGCGATGGTATTTAATAATTCAGTCACTTACTAAATTGCTACTGAGATTAAATAACTGACTGCAACTGCATCAGGCATGATGATTATATGAAAGGGGTGGGCGTGTGTGTGGATGTTTGTGCGAGCTTGATCACCCTGTGAAGGACTAGAATTCAATGGGGTTAAGTGACCTTCAAGCCAGGACAGCTTTACAGTCTTAAGATCCAAGTCTCCTACGCCTAAGTGCACTGGCAGACTAAATGACTAAATCAGTCAAACAACACAATTTCAGTCCAGCTGAAATAAAACCAGGAAACACAAAGGTTCTTCCAGAAGTAGGATGAGAAATGCTTGGAATAAAGACAGCACACATGTTTCAATATGAAAAAAAATCTATATTTTGAAAGAACAAATAAGGCAACATAATACAGGCACACAACATTCCTATGACGAAAGGACTTCTCCTCCAGACAGAATGTGCCACCACACTTCCAACCCGATGGACAGGAGGGTACGAGGCAGGAGGCTTCAGGGCAGATGTTTCTGGGTGGAGCAGTGAATTAACCACCAACCCAAACTGAACTCAAAGCTCAGCCTCTGATAAACATGAAGCCAGAAGAGCAAAACAATGGTCATGGTCTGCTTTAAGTAGAATGAGTCATTTTCTGCCAGTTACAAGCTTCACCCTGATATCCTGCAAATGGTTTACAACCTTTTCCTTGATTACATGGTTCCTTTCACGTCATGTTGAGGGTTTGAAGCATAGTTTACATTTTCCACCATCACACGCAGAAGTCAGACCTGACTCAATCCAAAAAGCCACAACTCTGACCTTTAACAAGGTTAAACAAGAGGCTGTTCCCATTTATTATTATTATTACCAGATTTTGGGGCATTTTTAGTCAAAATTAAGCCAGAAACAGTCCAAATCCTGGAAGTGGGACAAATAAATAATTTTGGTTTCACTCCGTCTTGCCTCTTCACAGCCAGAGTCGATCCTGATCCCCCTCAGTCCATGGCCTCTGACTGGCCCTTGAAATCCTTCACTCGGGCCTGGAAATCCACCATAAAACCACATTTTAAGTTACTTACTCATGCAGGGGTAGTGACTCAAGGTCGTTAGGCGAGGACCTGGAACCCAGAACACTTAAGGATCATGAACTTCCTGTGTGGTTATGTGTTTAGATATTAACATGCCCCGAGAACCTGGAAATACACGGTGATGTCGCCCGTCGGACACATAAAGCAGCTTGGTGACAGTAAGCTGGCAGACAGCAGGACCCTCTGTGGAAGCTACATCATCCACATCTGCTTCCAATCAGCTTGTATCTGGGAACTGTCTGCAACAATCCATCTTCCTGCTAAGACGGGGCGGTGGGGCGGAGCAACCCTTCACTGCTTCAGGGAAACATCTATGTTTCGTTTTCCTGGCAAATGTACCAGGTTCACCACCCGCTCATCTGTTCTGCTCATAGTCATTTGTACCATCTATAAAGAAGTTCCACCCATGTGACACTTATTCTAGATCTTAGCACTGCGGCTGCACTGCCGTGCCCCATTTGACAGTCCCGTGTCCCCGTGTCAAAGCGGCAGTCCCACGGCGTGCTTTGGTAGCTAAGCCTTCGAGGTCAATGGCCGTTTGATCTTCTCGAGAGATGAGAAGACGAAGGGCCGCCCTCATTAATCTCGGTTATTCTGAACCTCGGCTGACGCTTGTCTCGTCGCCCATTGCTGACGGCGCAGAGGGTGGGGCAGGTTAAACGCACAGGAGTCGGGTGGGACAGGGCAAATCCTGGGGGCTGTTTGGGGCCTCACAGTGTCAGGGGGTGAGTGAGGAAGGAAACCGACGGGTGTGTGTGGGGGGGGGGGGGGATCATAAAAGGAAACATGTAGGGGGACGGAGACTGGGTGGGGGGGCACCAAAAAGTGGCTAAAGGTAACGGGGGGGGGCAGCTCACCTGGAATGTGTTGAGAACGTGCTGGCAGACGTCGGTGAGGTCATTCAGGCCCTTTCTAAAGGGTTCCACTGCTGGAACACCCCCTGAGGAGCAAGAGAAAAACACAGATTCACCCAGAACCTGAGCATACAAACTGCATGGACACTGCTGCTGTTCCCTTAAATGACTCAATATTGTCGGATCTTCTATAATAAATAATAACCCATATTAAATAAAACAATCCAAGCATTCATGCTAAGTGGCAGCGTGGAACAATGTTCCTTGTATATACCTCACGTGACCCGTAGGGGGCCACGTTCAAGGTGAGCTGAGAACCTCGAGGACCGCGACCTGCTGATCTGCCGGAATGTCCTCCAAGCGCTATAAGAAACACGAGTTGTTTGACGTACTCACGCCATTTTTAGGAAGACTCACGGCTACTTCAGTTTATAGTGTAGTCAGAAATTTTTAAGACCAGAAAATTTGGCCAGACGTAGTGACAAGTAAAAAAAACTTTCCATTAATACAGGAAAGTATTTATAATTACGCAAGAGATAAAAATGACATTTTGAAAAACTATCAGCTCCTTTCCGACGGCATCCCATCCAACCAGAAAGACTAACAGATTTTCCTGAGCTAACGGAGTGATGCGTCTTCTAAAGGATTCCTCCTATGTACATCACTCTCCAATTTCTTTGGATGTTATTTAAATTCAATTCAATTTATTTTTATATAGTGCTTTTCACAACAGAGTTATCGCAAGGCACTTTAAGGCGTAATACATACCTACGTCATTTGTACACAATAATTCAAAAACAGGGAAAAGGGAAGATAAAGAAATAAAACCCAGCTATTTCTATTTATCTGTTTAGCACCTGCTAACCTTTTACCCAATTTACAGGATAGTTATTAATATTTTATTTAAATTAAATATTGCTTATGGTCTGCATTAGGAGGTTCTTTGTGTGCGTCTGGTGGCTGTGAGGTCAGGAGATCTGGGGCACACGGGCGAACAGGGAGAGTCACTCACACGGTGAGCCAGAACCCCGAAAAGGATAACAAGGGTCACGGAGACACGGTTCTTACGGAAAAGAGCGCTTACGGGAAACGGGCAGGGCCCTCGCGCCTAAATGACTTATCAGCTCGGAAAACAGCATCCGGCTACAATTCTGCAAGGCAGAGAGTCAAGGTTGCTGAGCGATTCAGATGAAGCCTTCAGCCTCTACGGTATGGAGAAGCTTTGCAGAGCCCGACATGAGTGAGACGCAAGCTAACTGAGCTATACATGAAGGTGCGCTTCGCTTTCGGCTGCCGGTTCGAACACGGTACTCTAAGCACCCACCCCCTGAGCACCTAGAGAATGACTGAAGGCCAGCAAATTTCTCCATCATGGGCTTAGACCTTCAGCCATATCGCATTGAAACATCTACCAAGCTTGAGAAAAGAAAATAAATAAAATCCCCTCATAAGGAGCAGTTTACAGTGTAGCCAGTTGTATTCCAAACACTTTTAAAACGTGATTATTGATATGGAGAAATTACTGAATATTTCCAGCCCAAGAATCTCACTGCAAGGTCCCAGAGCAGGAAAACCAGGACCTTTGGGATTTGGAGTGATTCACAGTCACTGACAAGCAGAGTACAGGACTGAAGGCGAGAGCAGCCACCCCCAGGGGGCGCTGTGGTGCAGGTGGGCCAGGGCACGACGTAGAACAGAAGCATCCTCCCCTGCTCCAGAATAAAGTGTTGACAGATTCACTCCAAAGTCCCTCCCAGCTGGCTGCTTTTCAGTAATGAATCTTTGGGGGGGGGGGGGGTTCGATAGTAGACTTCAATCAGCTTGTTTGTTTTGGGTACCAAAGATTTCAGACTGTTTCTGCCGTCAACCCTTCCAGGCGCCAGAGTGGGGGGGAGGGGCAGGGAGTGATTAGTGGGGGTGCAGGTCCAGACCTGTTGAATAGTACTCTCGATTCTGAGTGCCCCCCCCCCACTAATCTAATTACTCTGATAAGCCCGCTTGCTTCCGCCACCACATAAAGTTGGCCCGACAGAGAGCACCATCATGAGATCAGCCCTTTTTTACGTCTCGTCCCTTGACACCCGGCTCCGCCCGTGGACACCCCCGGCGTGGCCAAATCCTCAAAGCGCCTCTGTGCAGATCGGCCCGGAGGGCCACGCTGCTCTTTCATTCTGTTACACCAATTTAATTAAGGACCACGAGGACCTTTTTCTCCATGGTTTTCTGGCACCGCGCCCCAAAATATACATTAAAACCACAATTTGTTAAAAATAGTTTTCTTGGCAAAAGAACTACCGGAGGGTACCCGAGGTGACAGAACGAAGAGGGGAAAAAAAAAATCTTTACTAAGAGAGCGTGACAACGGACAACAGCGCATTCAGACAAGCGATGCCTTAAATGAATTTTTGTTATAGCCTTGGGGAGGACAGCACTATCTGAAACCCCCTCTGTCAGCATGCAGCAGCTGCCAGACCATAATTCACCCCACGGGGCGTTTGGCCGTGTGCAGGAGCCCAAGCGCTCAAATCGAAACCCACCACGAGTGACTCTGCAGGGCAAAATGGCGTCTACAAAGACGTCGACACAGTCTTTCTGATACGGCAGCCAGGGCTGCTAAAGGATTCTCAGGTGTTGGTTCCTAAAAACAACCAGGGAGGGGCATGAGAGCCCAACGCCAACACCGTCTCACCTCGCGTCTGGATGCGGAAGTTGATCTTGCTCTCCGACGGATGCGTGATGCTGTACCCGCAGAACTCTATGTCGGGGCTGGGCAGAGAGAGGAAGTTAAAACGGTCCCCCATGTTTGGAATCATCATGATTTTTAAAGCAACAAACATAAAGGATGTAATCAGAGGAAAGTCACCCAGCCACAACAGCAATACGGCAGAGCAAAATGGCTGCCCATCAGTGGGTGTGGCTGCAATGATCACTCACTTCTTCATGACCAAATATCTCAACGAGTTCCCTAGAGTGTGGTCCTCCTCGTGCAGCACGAAGGTGATGCAGCCCTCATCGGCCCCCTCCGCCTGCACCTGTGAGGAAAAGACGGGGGGGGGACATTCAGCCAGGGGTGGCAACACACTTTTACATTTACTTACGGCGCTTTTCCACTGGCATGCAGGAACCAAGCCGTACGCGACCCGTACAGAGAAGAGACTTATGGCACAGGTCCAGATCATTTAGCTATTACACTGCAGAAGGATCAGCTTGGCAAAGGTGGTACCGGGTTTGGAGAGTGACAGTGATGATTATTTGCTGTGCATCAGGATTTCTGTTAGGCCGTCTGTGAGAATCGCTCTTTAATGTTATTATCAAACACTAGCGGAATTAGCATTTGCTTGCGCAAATTTGCCTTACGAATCCATTCCATTCAGCTGATATATAGTGCTTTTTTAAGTAAGAGGATGGACATTTTTAAGTTCCAAGTTATCAGGAATTGCAATGCGTAATATTACTAATAATGAATAATATGCAGAATATGCTCCTTTCTTCCTTCAGCTGATCGCGCAGATCAGCGGTATGTCCTTGCATTTCGACCAATCAAATGGTGGCACCGCGACCAGCCCGATGCTAGTAAGCAGGGCCAAGTCAGTGCAGGTACGGCTTGCATAATTTACGGTGGAAAACCGTCAGTTCGCGATATGGCTTGGTTCTCGGTGCCAGTGGAAAAGTGTGATTATGTAGCAGATATTTGTATCCAAAGCGACACAAAGTTGAGAAAGCAGGGTCACTCAGTCCCGGGAGCAAACAGGGTTGAGGGCCTTGGCCAAGGATCAGCTGATCGCTTTGAGCTTTGACACCATCCACCCTTCCATCTCCCATAACCGCTTTTCCAGTCACAGTGAGCAGGGACACCTTGGACAGATGCTGGTCTATCACAAGGTGGATTTACCCAAGACATCAACACCACCAACCCAGATGTTTTCAGACTGCTGGAGGAACAAGGCCTCAGTGCCACCCGCTGAGCCTGCTTTGAAACCATGAACCGGGAAACAACTGGATAATCACTGGTTCAAAGAGAACCACGGTAGACACTGGGGAGTACATATCCTATCAGCTACATTACGAAGGACTTAAGTGGAGTCTGGGGCCATGCGGGTGTCACAGGCAAAAACAAAGGGAGCGAAAGGAAGGTCGGCTGGACCCCGGAAAAGGATGTCAGCTGGGGTGGAGGCCCCTCTGACGCAGGAACAATCAGCGGTTCTGACGCCAGCCCCGATAAAAAGCTGCGGGGGGGGGGGGGGGGTGTCTCCGGGGCCACGACCGGATCGCAGACCCCAAAGCTCAGCCAGGTCTCAGATGCCTGCCGACGACGCCGGCAGGATGGACCGATTCGTATGACTGCATGGGAGGCAGGAAGGGAGGGACAGGGGAAGGAAGAGATCATAGCAGGAGTATGAGGGCGCAGAGAAAGTCGGTGGGAAAATGCTGGCCGGCTGGGGGAGGCCGGCGGTTTGAACTGTAAATACAGGGACAGGAAGCCTAAATTAAAGTATCGAGGTGTGCATCGGTCAAGCATGCTTTCAATGGAAATAATTATGATCTTTAAAATCTGATTATGTCTGTCAAAAAGGAAATGCAGAGGAAAACCATCAAGCCAGCAAAGGTCCTTTTAGGCTGTTGCAAAGGCAGCGCTGATATCTGTCTCCAGGGAACTTCCTCAATATCAGAAGGAGACACTAAATGTATTCGCCTGTATTTAATTTAAAGTTACACCACTAAGCTCTGGATTTATTTCCTTTAGTTACATTAGAGGAAAAACAACCTACTATATTCTTACTGCATTCACCACATTTCACGGGTGTGTTCAATATTGTTCTTGGGGGGGGGATTAAATAACTGGTACAGCAAAATAAATTCTGTAATTGAAATGTAAATTCTGTAATTGAAAACTTTAAATGTACAATAGTCCAAGCATCAAGCAATGTTAATTCATGATTGCCATGCTGTAATGCATTTTCATTTTCTCATGGTTTCCTGTAGAAAATCTGATGCAAATCGAAATTACACAGAATAATAAACAAAATCCTACACAGAATAAATGTTGCAAATGTTATTTTCGAGACAATCCTTCAGTCAGAGTGAAAAAGGGGTCGCTTCATCGACATTGAATACATGCTCTGCTGGAAGCTTCAGAGAACTCCAGGAGTAACACACAGAAAAAGTGTGATGAGTATTATATCTATTATATTGAATACTTTCAAAATAAAGTCAATTTAAAGAGAAAAACGTATGACGTGACGTCTTTCAAAATATGAATCGTACGTCAATTAGCATAACCTAGAATTTACGGCTTATTTCTCAATAGCGTGATAAGATACAGGTTCTTTTCTACCTCCGAACATGCAAGTATAATGAGATGCTCGGCTCTTCACTGCCCCCAAGCGGAAGCTTGCGTGTACTGCCACACATTACATTGCTCTCGGAGGATTCCAACGCTTTCGTGAAACATAAATCCCACAGCACCTTAAATTTGAGCTACGTCGCAGTGTGCTATATTCACTGTTAGCTTACTAAGTTGAACAGACTTTTAAAGTGGAAGTAATATTTTACACTGAATGATAATACTACCTGGGCATCAATTAATAATCAAATATCTGTAATTCGCGATTTAATAATTTGTAGGATCGTCCGTCTTTACTGTGAATACGGTAATATTTCGAAGGAAATTTAAACTTCGTGTTAAATTAAATTAAGATGAAAGCGCTATCATCAGGTAGGTAGTTAATCGTGCAGAGGAGACACGTGGATATCCTCCAGCATAGTGTCAATGTCACTGCGTTAAATTACGTATTTCCAGAATGAACTGGCGCTGGCCTTACTTTTCATCTTTTGTCATATGCACATTAAAGTCTTTAAAGTTAAACTTACCATTTCCAACACCGGTTTATTCCCCTCTTCTACACCAGCCATTACTAGCCTGTATGCCTTTCAGTCGCCAGATTATGACGTATGGCACAATCTTGGTTCTGTCACATGGTTAGATTGTCAGAAGTTTCTCGTGGCGGCTACAGAACAGCAAAGAGACGTTTGAGACTGAACTAGCCTCCACACAAAGACGACGCATAGTCAGTAAGTAATCTTACACACATCTAAAAGTGCGCCTTACAAAGGCTGTACATAAACGAATGCAACATGACACCAATCCGTAGCAATTGTGTCCCTAGTCATTTTTCGGTTTCTTGATGGAAAAAAGAACTATCAGAAATAATGTAACCCAACCCAATATCTAAACAGCCCTAAGTATAAATCATGAATATGTAAACGGACATATAATTAAAATGGAATTTGTGAAAGCACAAGATGACTTATGTTTCATAAGCTCTCAATGTTACAATGTCAATACAATGAGGTTTATATTGGAAAGCTCCGACAATACTATGTGGAATCAAACATTTGACCAGTGCCCTAGACTTAATGTAACTTTTGCAGGAACATTGTGTGGGATGTGTTGAGTTCTCAGTTCCTGATAGTTCCACACCGTTTTCACCCACGACAAGAAGGTGCACCATTAGGCAATCAGGCATTCTGCAACCAAATATATAAATTCTAAAATGGGTCTCCAAAGGCATCCTCTGGCTATGATCACAGGGAATCAATAACTTACATGAGCAAGATGGATTCAGTTCCCCATGTGTTCTTCTGAACATACGGCCGGCATAATGAAAAATACACCCTTTCATTGACAGATTTAATATTTCATTCTTCAACTAAATCAATTCATCCGGGCTGTCAAATAATCAATCAATATTTCTTTATGTCTTATCTGTGTCTTATAATTCAGGGCTTTACCTTTTAGCATGTTGCACATTTCTAATTTAGTTTTACTTGCGTAGTATCACTTCCGCTTATCATTTCAGTATCATGTGAGCATCATTGCTTCTCTCCACAGCACACCTTGTATTACAGTCCATCTTATCACTGTTACACATTGCACTAATTATACGTCAAAAGGGTGGTGATGTTTAAAAAGGGGATTTAGTGGAATTTAGATATTGACTAATTCTTATTTGTCTTTATACGCTTCTTCTCATCACTTACTATATTCTTCCCAGTATTGTAATGACCATGTCACGCGCTGTGTTTTGGTAGCACTCCTCTCGCGGTTGCCCGTTCTTCTGGGTTTCTGGGCGGGGCGTGGTCACATGGCCGGGGACGTGGAACGTCAGTCTTCCGCGTGCCTTGCACATACCGAACTACATATCCCTGAGTCCCAGGCGAGCGGAAGCGCTCTGTACGACACACAGTAGATTAAGTAGGAAAACAGAAGTACCTAAGGAGCGTGATCGAAGTCGCCTATAAATGATCGGCAAGCGCAGATTCCGGGATCCGAAGTAAACAGCCAGTAGGTATGCGACTCTCGGTACATCTGCATCGCCCCTATTTGTGCCTCCTCGTCGCCGACGGCGATCATGGCATGACATGCTTAGTAAACCAGCTCACTGGCTAGCTGTCGATCCACAAAGTGAGAGTAGTGACATTTTTCGCTTGGCTGCTCGTACGCTGTGGGAATCCTCGTGCCTAGTCGCAGCAAAACATTGCTTCCAGGTTGCTAAATAATTCATTAGAAACTGATGAATGATTCGCCTCGCCTTTTGATATTCTCTGACTAATAATCATGCGGACACCATGGCTGAGCAGGCTAGCTGCAGGGTGTTTTGGGCAGTTATGTGCGTAATGTTATTGCTTAATGTTAGCTGAGTATTTGAGCGTCGAAACACTGACAGTTGCCACGTATTACGCTTCGTGCTACGCTTTCCTAAAATAAATAACGTACACTGTCTGTTTGGCTAATGTTTTACTCGATGGATACATAGCTCAGCGAATCGCAATAACTAGTTAGATATGAGTCACTGGGCAAGTCAGCTGTAGACCGCGGAAGTGCGGATCATACGCGAAAAGAAATCCTTACTTCCCATAAAGACCCAGGAGTTAAGGCCCAGTTCTCTCTTTGGTGAAGAGTGTTTACTTCTAAATCTTTTATTTTTATGCCAGTTGAGCTCCTGTCAGGACTGTGGCCGGAGTGTTCGCCCCCACTCCCCCACCACCCCCCAGCACTCCAGCCGTTCATCCGCCGTTTCGGTGACCGGTCCCTGGATCTCCCCAGTTGCCATGGCGATCCTGTTTGCGGTGGTAGCTCGTGGCACCACCATCCTAGCCAAGCACGCTTGGTGCGGGGGCAACTTTCTGGAGGTGACGGAGCAGATTTTAGCCAAGATCCCCTCCGAGAACAACAAGCTGACATACTCGCATGGCAGGTAGGAATTCTCTTTTCTCTCTCTCTACCATACTTCTTCCTCTAAACTCGGATTGACCATTAGCGCGATTTATAAGATTAAGCTGACATTGACAATTTGACAATCCCCGATTAAGCTTGACAAGATTCTGATGACCCATGCCTTTCCTTTCCTGTTTAGTTTTGGCAGTTATACAAACCGAAAAACATAGCTACAGTAATTAGTACATTATGTAGATGCCTGTATTTCTGTAATTAAATGTTATTCTCTCTGTTCCTAGCTATTTATTTCACTACATTTGCCACGACAGAATTATCTACCTGTGCATCACAGATGATGTGAGTATCAGCTGATCATTTGGGTGATTTTTAATTGCATGAATTTTATTGCATTTGTTATGGCTAGTAAATGTTTTGTGTCAGGTGTGTGTGTGTGTGTGTGTGTGTGTCAGTCAGTCAGAACTTTAGCTTTGTTGTGAATAAATTAGTGGCTGCCTTGCATTGAATCCTAATTTTTTTAAATGATGGTTTAGAAAATTTACTTTACCACCCTCAGGACTTTGAGAGGTCAAGAGCGTTCAGCTTCCTGAACGAGGTGAAGAAGCGCTTCCAGACGACGTACGGGTCGCGGGCGCAGACGGCCTTGCCCTACGCCATGAACAGCGAGTTCTCCAGCACACTCGCTGCACAAATGGTATGTAAACTGACCGATCAAAGCTCAGCTGTTGGATGTTCTGAGATCCACCAAAAAATGGACCCTATTCTGCTACTTTGTACCATTTATGTGTTTGTGCATCAAATAATGTGAAGTTCGCCATCATTTGTGAGGATGCTTTGGACATAGTATGGAAGGCCGTTCTTCTAAGGGCATCAAAGGAGAATCTGTATGATCATCTTAGCATCAGGGTTTATGATGTTCCAAAAGGCTTCTAGTGAACCTGTTTTGGTTTTGGAGGCCCCTTTTCCTCCACAAAGCAGGCTCTCGGGATCTCATGATGCTCATGTGACCACAGCCTCTAGCCCTGAGGGCAGAAGACTTAATTTTAGTGCCCATGTGAATGTATGAGGTGAAACCCTTCAAGGATAACAAAAACCCACATCACCTTCTGCATTCATTTATCCAGTAGCCTCCACAGTCTAGAGGTCAAATGAATAACCTTTGGGGAACATAGCTCTGGATCTGCTGCCCACAGTGAGCGTGCAGGGCTGTGCAGCATTGTCTGCTCCAAGAAACCAGGAGAGGGACTGTACTGTGATACAGGCCTAGTTTGTTGTTTTTTTTGAAAGGATGCTATTCAAGTTGATAGACAATGCAACGTGTCTCCCACCCCAACAGAAACACCACTCGGATCCGCGGGGGTCGGACCGCATCACAGAGACCCAGATGCAGGTGGACGACCTGAAGGGCATTATGGTCCGCAACATCGGTGAGATGCGTTCGACACATCTTTACTCCCAGGTGCTAGATAACTGTGGTTTGAAGAGCTCCACAGTTCTGAGCTCTTCACTTTTGTGTCCGTCATGCAAGACTCATCTGTTTTTCTGCAGACCTTGTGGCACAGAGGGGAGAGAAACTGGAGCTGCTGATCGACAAAACTGAAAGCTTGGTGGATTCCGTCAGTATAATTTATTGGGGTCGTAACCACATAGTGATCAGAAGAGTCATTTACAGTATGTAGAAATACTAAGTTATGACGCCTGTTCCTGTCGTCTTATTGTCTTTCTGTGTTTTTCTAGTCTGTTACCTTCAAAACCACCAGCCGTAATCTGGCAAGGGCCATATGCATGAAGAACCTGAAAATAACGCTCATCATTGTGCTGGTATCTGTGGTGAGTAGCCACCCTTTTCACTTTCCTCATACTGAAATAGGCAGCAGTTAGCAACACTCACCAATCAATGGGTGTAATATAGAGCATTCCATTCCATGCTGTGCAAAAGTCTTAGGCAGTCAAAGAGAGTGATGTTTCAGTGATCTTCATATTGGTGTAAAACTATGATTTTATGTCTGTCACAGTGTGCCAACTTCAAAACCTCTCATAAAACCAGTATTTGCATCAGTATTTTTTTGACTTGACCACTGCCCTGCATTGTTTGGCTAATCAATACCCCATTGAGCTATTTAACAAACGAAGTTAATTAATGAATCGAGCTGGTGGTGAAATTTAATGAATACATGGAACGGCTGAGGTGGCCCTGAGGAGAGGTTTGGGAACCAAAGTGCTGTTCATCTAGCCATCCAACAAGATATCAGAGTCTTGGAGAAAAGAAGAAATTTTATTTTTATTGTGTTATTGTTTATTTGCATGTATTGTAACATTAAACAGATTTTTTTTCCCCGAGCACATATACACTTACTACCTAGATAAATAGCTTTAAACATTTTATTTGGCTGCCTTCAACTTTTGCTCAGCATTCTATGTCCATTACCATGCTGTATTGGGACTCCCCCCCAGGTCGTCCTGTACATCATCGTTTCTGCTGCGTGTGGGGGTCTCAGCTGGCCCAGCTGCGTGAAGAAGTAAAGCCGAAGGACAGGAGATGACCCCTGATCCTTCCCTCCCCCACCTGTAAAAGCCTAGGGGACTGAGCCACTCTTACAGCCAAACACCACTTGAACTGCACCCCACTATCCCCACTTCATGCGGCTCATCCTCTGTCTGTCCGTCTGCCCGCCCCTCTGGAGCAGATAAAGTCAGCTGAGAAACACGCCAGTAAACGCCCTCCCCTCAGATGTCATTGACGGCCCGCTGCACAACTCCCATGTACTCGCACTTATCCTCGGAATGATTGACTCAGTTCACTGTCTAGCTAATTTGTATGCGTGAGATTCCATATTTCGTTAACCACTCGATAGACTTCTGAGCAAAAGTATGATTTTGGTCAACAAACTGTATAGTGATGAAGTAACTAAAATGTACCTGCTTTTACAAGAAGAGTCTTGCACTGCTGCCTTGACTACGCATGTGTTTCTACTTAAAGACTGAAAATGTGTGTGATCATCATAGAAGCCTCCCTCCCCCAACTGAGCTCCTATCCAGAATACCGAGTTTGGGGGCAGTCAGCTGGCTGTGATGCTGAGATTCGCACCCGCATGGATTGAGATACAGTTGAGCCTTCCGTGTTGTTGCGGTGTAAACGGACCTCTTGCTCCTCTTGTTTGGGAATAATTGCATTTCATGGGACACAAGTGGAGAACGCCATTTTGCTAGTTCTGACCTGAAGGCTGACCTTTAACCTCTTAGATGGACTGATATTGAGTCTATAAAAATGGTTTCTGTAATATATTTGAAGTGTGGGCATACTCAGTATACCAGGTGGTTATGTCAGGGGTGGATTCTTTGTGAATACTTGTGTAACAAGTTAATCTGTTGACATGCTGGGTGCCACTAAGTACTAGATCTATAGTCACCTTTCATCTAAATCATTACAAGTAATCTTGTTGTAGTAAGTCCAGTGACTTTTTTATATATATAGGAGGACTCGCATCTTTTTTCTGCTTATCTAATAATCCATGGGGGAGCGACTGGATGATCTTCATGCCAAATACATCACAACGATATCTGAAGATGCCAATTGTTTGGCTTCTGAGTTCAGCTATTAAGAACTGTGGAATTGATGAAACAGTTGTTGACATACCTTGACTTTGAATGACAGGGGGCTCTTGAGTGGGGGGGCCTTGGGGGTTACCGAGACTTGAGGGAGCAGTAGCAGGTGATTAAAATTGATTTCCCCTCATGATTGGCTACAAGGTTTCAGCGGTTTTTCCCGTAGAGTTTGAATGATAGGGAGCGGTGTGTTGTGTCTTCCCCAATGACGTATGTCTAATGGAAGTATCACCAGGCCCTAAACTTGCCTTCTGGAATTGTCTGTAATGTCCATGCAAACATTAGGGTCAGAAGGACCAGGGCAATTCTGGGAGGGTGCCAACAGAGGACCGGTCTGCCCTAAAGCCTTCATGTTCAGTTGAGGAATCTACCAGGCTAGAGCAGTTTCCTGATATTTCTTTTTTTTTAGCCCTCATGCTCCCCTGAAGAGGTGCCTGTGATGACGGAGAGTAGATAAGGGTTACGCTTCTTCCAGGGCATTTGGGACCGGACAGGATTTTAGCGGTCAGCTATCGGAGCCATCAAGTATCCATTGAGTGACAAGACGGGTTGAAAGGTACTTTCATAGGTCGTTGTCAGGTATTTATGTATGTACAATGTAGTTTTAACCTCATGTGATTCTCCTGCCATAATATTGTATGATATGTTGTACGTGTTTTATTTTATTACTTTCTTTTTCCACATTTGAACAAATAAAGCAGACTATGCTATTCCGTGTTGGCGTTTTTATTTAAGGGAAGGAGTGCTGCAGTATTTTTTTTTTTAAAGAATGTGACCCACTTCTGCTTTTACAGGTGTACTTTCTGGAGTCTATATTTGTCTGAAATGTGACTCGAGAGAAGAAAAGCAGTGCAAACAACACGCGGACATGTGGAAAGATTTTAAAATGGTTATAAAATGCTGCATTAAAATGTGTAGTGAACAAAATGGTAAAAATGAAGTGTTATGGGTAAAATACATAATTTACTGGAATATATGTAAAGTACATCCGGTTCCGAGGAAGGGAAGTACAGCATGACCTAGTGCTACCTAACGAAATGCTTGCCGTTCCAGTTATTTGCAGTCTTGTCCTCTTCCATCTGTGATCTAGATCTTGAAGAACTGGGTAAACAAGACTATGTCATCATAATGACATCATAAGCATGGGACAACAGGCTGGGAATCAACAGGTGTTTCTCTGCTCTGGGACCCTCATGAAGACGTCTAGGACTGGCTTGACTTCTTTCAGTCTAAAAGAAAAATACGACAAGGAAATGATTTAGACGTGAGGTATTTTAGAAGAACGATTATGAATCAGTCACCCAGCCAAATTACAAGCCCCCAAAAGAAGCACCAACAGCACCTATTTTGAGCTCCAAATCAGCCTTTCTGTTGGCTTGCCGAGTCTCCCTCTTCCTTGAGCTGGTGTTTTCACCTTGGGGGGAAAAAAACAAACATAAGCTCATTCAGATTGTCCTCCGTGAGTGGTAGGGAATTCTGTGTGACAGCACCTACACTCTGGAATACACTCCCTCACAGTCTGCGAGAGGTACACCCTGTTAATACTTTCAAGCATCAATTGAAAACTCAATATAATGTGTCTACCAGTACATAACATTCTCATTGTCATAGTTTTGCTGTTGCTCTTGTAGCTGTATCTGCATTGCTTTTATTGTATTATTGTTTGCATTATAAAGCATCCTCAAATGTGAGAAAGGTACTATATAAATAAATCATTAATTATTATTATTATATTATTATTAAAGACATCTGATTTGTCAGTTTTTGCAGCCATGACACATCCCATCATTGAAGTAACAAAGTCTGGTGCTACGTTCTTAAAAAAAATTAAAATTGCAAGTATATAGTCTATTTTTATTTATAATGATTTAATTCCTCACTATTCCTTTCCAGGATATTCTGTTTGTTCTCGTTTGTCTCTGCACTTTGTAATTTTTTGGACTACATGTTTGTTTGTCTGCACTTTACGCACCTTGCCGCTGTATGCGCAAGAATTTCCCCCTTTGATCAATAAAGTTTTATCTTATCTTATTATCTCATTCACATTTGGAATAAATATGTATTGAAAGGTTGGTGGTCTTACTGTGAGCCCATAGGCCTGGGTCGCGCTCTGGGTCATGGGGGCTGTCAGGCTGTGGCTTGTCAGTCTTCTTGTAGCAGTAATCTTGGTCTGGGGGCCCAAATGTCTGGAGAACATTTTCCATCTGTTTTATTTTATTTTTTTTGTTTTCATGTTCAAGTATTTTATCCCCCCATCTTACAACAATTTATCCAGCACAGGGCTGGGGGGCAAGTGCTTCTTGTCAGACAGTTATTTTTATTTCAATTTTTAGAAACAACATTCATGGTATTACTGTACATTTCCGAGACTTGTATTCTCTTTGGCTGATCTTGGGTTAATTTGCAAGTCCATAGTAGTGAACTTTGTCTGACTCACAATACATTGAATCCCAAAAGCTCACTGATGTTCTTAATCAAATTGTTGCTCAGACACAGTCAAAGCAGACGTGGATTTTACCATCAACATCAGAACAGTGAGCTGAAGTACTGAGAGCAAAGACTGTAGTTGCTGAAGATTATTGCAGAAGCCGCCTTACATGCCCCTATTATCCTGTTAGACGCGTCGCTTAGCATAAGCCAACTTCAATGAGAGTGAGGACAAAGGCAGCTTAGCTAATGTTTGACTGAGTGCCTAAAAGAACTGTTTTGTAGTACTGAGTTATATATGATTACGAGAACTAAACAACACCCTCCTGCATGGACAACGGGTTACTGAAAATGGATAGATATGTTATTGAGGGTTATATAGCAATGGTGCTTTAAAGATTAGTATAAGCTGTTCCTGTGATAAATGGTAAGAGACTGATGTCTTTGGCACTAAAGCTGCATTCCAACAAACGACTGCAGTACAAACAGACCTTTAGTAGCCCATCTGCAGTTTGACAACGTGAGGTATATTTCTGCTAGCAATACCAGCAAGGACCAGATTTGCACTGAGGCTGCTATGAGCCCTTCCAGCAGGGGCATTACAGACATTACAAAATGGAATTTAACTAAATATAAATTAAAATGATATTAAAGACTTGCATTTGCATTTGACCCAGCATCCTGGAAGCTAACACTATTCATGTAGTGTGAAAAATCTCTTTAATTCATGCAAAAATCCTAGGTTGCTGAGAAAGTGGTCATCTAAAATGGCCAGTAATTACAGCAGGCTGCAAAATGCCAATCGTTGCATATTAGTAAAGTTAATTTCAGTGCAGCTTTCTTTATAATCTTGATTGCACTTCGTAAGCAAGACAACTGCATAAGGAAACAGGGTGGAGGAATGAGCCGGGAGAAGAGGTTTCTGAGACACCCTACTAAGCTCTAACTGAAGTAAAGTCGTCTTAGAAGCCAACAGCAGATGATCAGGCCATTAAAAAGAACAGGCTTTCTGCAGCAGTGGTGGCTCTATAATAGAACATAGCATGGATTCTGACCTTGTCTGGCCACATGAAGCTGATGAAGAGGATAGCAGGCAGACCCACGGTGAAGACATACAGAGCCCAGAGCCAGGGGCGCTGCTCCGTCGCCATCAGAAGCTGCATCAGCAGGCCAGGCTACAGTGGGGATCACAGGACATTTACATTAGCTTATTTAGTGACGTACAGGTGAGGGAAGCTTGGAGTTACAGAGCAGCCAGCATCCCTGGAGCAGTTGGGGTTAAGGACCTTAGTCAAGGGTCCAAAGGTGATATTATTACTGTAACAGCTACAAACGAAAGGTTATATGGATTATAATAGATTCAAGGCTGAAAGGCTTCATGGTCGGCACAAATGTTAAGCAAGAGCAAGCCATGGTTATTGTGGGCCTAAAGTCCTTCTCACAGTCTGTCTCTGCCCCCAGGTGTCTGTCGTCCACCGTTGGGCCACTGTGACGTCGGAGCACAGCAGTATGTTGTCAAAGAGCACATCCCCTGTCGTTGACCACAGCTCCAGCCCCACTGCGGCTACTGGACTCATCTGGAATGGCTGTGAGTCCTCAAAGTACTCCGGGTTAGTGACCGTCCTTGGGCTCCACTGCCCCTGCGGGACAAATTAGCAGCATGGGGCATGATATTCAATCTTAAAGTCCCAGCCTTAGGAGGACGCTGTAAGGGCAATAAACAGAAAGTGAACAAATGGGCATCAACTGGACAAACTTGGTACCTGGTAATTAGGATTCTGAATAAGTGGAGGGCTCCACTTTCCCTTATAGGCTGGGTTTGAGATTAATGGAGGTTCCCATTGGCCACATCCAACCGCATCAGAGCAGACTGGATTGGAAACCAGAGGAGGCTCCCATTTCCCATCCATGTCCTCATCCCTGTGGAGCAAAGGGATTCTGTTTTGTTCCTGCTGCTCTTTTTGCTGAGATGACTCTGGAGTGCTTAACAGAAGCATGTAACACCAAAATGTCCAGTGGTTAAAGAAACTGGGACTTCCGTATCAAATGTTGCAAGCACTAGTCCAGGGGTAGGTAACCCTGATCCTTGAGTGCTGGTACCCAGCGGGTTTCCCATCCTACCTGGTCTCTGATGAACCACATCTGATCTCAGGCAGATAGTAACTCATCAGGTAGGATAGAAAACCTGCTGGAAACTGGCACTCCAGGATCAGGGTTACCTACCTCTGCTCTAGTCCCAGGAAGTAATTTGATATAATCATGATGAATAGGTTACTACTGATATGGTCAGTATACAGCTGTGTGAAGGATCAGAAGTGCCCTACTCAGAAAATAGATAACGGAGGTCTTCCTGCTGACAGACGTGACAATGAGAGCAGGACTCACCAGTCATCTGGACGTTGGGCTTCTGGATCTGAGATGAAGGGCTGCTCGTCCTCCAGCCAGCCGTGTACTCTCTGGGCTGCAGGGTCAGGGATGAGCTCAGGGGCCTCTTCATCCCTAGGAAGATGGCAAATATGTCTGAACAGAACCTCAGTGTTAAGGACTCCATCGGGCATTCACAACATCCACTGAAGACCACTGATGATGGGGAAATATTACACATTGCAGCGTGGAAAACATTGTTCTATGAGATTGTCATTGGCTCAATGACTTCACAGCATTTAGCTCTGTTGGTGTGACGTCAGAATGATCTCTAATGGTTCCTGATGTGGTGCAGGAATGAAACGCTCATTGATTGCTGCAGTTGGTGATACAGTTTATAGTTTTCCCAAAACAAATCTTCACAGTAAACCCTCATATAACTCAACTGCATAAAAACATCAATTGTTTCCGCATTATGTTTCTATATAGGACTAGGGTTACAAAGAACCTGTATTGATCTTATTGGCCTGGATTGATTCAATCACTTTGGTTTGCCTTTGAATTCCGGCTTGACAGACAGCTTACCAGTCCATTGGTTTTCTTGCCATGGGGTCAGGGATACGTGGTCTATCATCCCAGTCTGCAGGCTTGGTGTCATGGGGATCAGCGACCTCTTGAGGTGGATTCACAGATGGGTCCACATCCTCCAAAAGGCTGCCCTTACTTACCAGGTACTCGTCAATCAGAATTTCATACCTGTTATCAGGATATAATCCTACATGCAGACAGAGCACAACAAAGAAAGGTGTAATATTGTAGAATCCCGTTGTAGGTTCTAAAGGAATTCCAATAGGGATAAACATGCCTTAGCCTATGAAACTCACTCAATGTGTACAGATGAGGTTGACGGTCAGTGAAATATCTGCTCAGGTCCTCTGCTGTTTGCCGGGCGTGTTTCTCCTGATACTTTCCAGTTAGCGGGTTCCGGTGGCGAAAGATGAAATATATCTTCTGGTTGCCACCACACTTATCCGGACCAAACATGATGGTGTATGGGGTGGTGTCACAAAATTGGCTCTGAAGGAATACAGAACAGCTGTCCCTGAAGAAAGCACAGCAACATCTTTTAACGATGCTTTGAAGATGAAAGCCAAATTTAACGTGATCCTATTTATAGTTAGTTCCTTGCGTAAAAGGATTGTATTTCTGTTCTGTGGACCTCAAAATGGCAGTCGTTTACTGAACGCTATGAAGCACCTGAGGGAGAATTAAAGCCGTACTTACCAGACGGAGATGATCCGTGTGGGTAAGCAGTTTAATGTAGGCCCCACCACAGTCAACTCCGTTCTGGAATAGGACTTCGTATCTGTACATTAACACGCTGCAGTCAGGCCAAATCCAAACAAAGGCCTTTAGATAAGCCAGAATGGCTTATTTTTTGCCACAGTGCTTTTATGGCTTAATTGTGCAGGAGCTGTGAAGTCACAGAAACTCACTGCAAGATGAGAGGCTTGTCTGTGAAGTGGAAGATGGTGCGTAAATATGCCGCGATGGCATGGTGTCGACCTGGGGACTTCAGCACCAGACCCCTGTTTCCAGACGTGCCCTCCTCCACAGCCCACCGCCCTGTTTCCGCAAGCAATCAGCAATTTATCCGATTTAATGCTATACATTCCATTTCCATACCCATGTATATCTTTTATATTTTTCTCTATATTTCTCTATATTGTGTGTATATTTTACATATACAACTACATCTAGCTTCGCTTTAATATATTTTTTTATTGATAGTTTATATATATGTCTTATATGCTTAACTACTGTGCCATTGTTTTGTTTTTCTTTTTTTTGGATCATCTCGAGGAGTGACCTTTCATTGTGTACTGCACATATGACAATAAAATTCCTTAAATCTCGAATCAGTAGTTGAACTGAATTTATGTTCTCTCAAAATAATGTTATATTTGCTGAAATCTGTGAGATCACCACATGCAGCTTAACCCAGACTAGAAGGTGGAAATACAGAATTATAGTACACTATAATCCTGAGTGAATCTGAATACTGCCCAGTACCCACCATTGTACTTAAGGATGTCTTCCTTTTCAGCTTTCTGTGCTTTGGACAACACCCATTTCCTAAAACGGTGACGTTAACTGACATTATCAAATTAGGCTTTTTATTAGCAGACATCGGTTTCAGACAAACTATGCAATTCCTGGATTATCTTACATCTTTTTTCACATAATTCTGGGCAACGTAAGACATTGACGTATAAGAGAAATTATATATATCAACTCTGCAAGTATTGATTTTATTAGATGAACTATATTTATCCCAGAGGGAAATTCTTGCACTTGTTTGCAGTTCAAAAGAGTGGCTGCTTTTCATTTGAGTTACTAAATACATTTCATGCAGGATTTTGGAGATGAATACCTATCCAACGGACCAGAGTCAAATGTCTCGGCAAAATGAGCTTCCTCTGGAATTGCAGGAGATCTGTACGTATTCTGGAAAATACATAGGTAGAGCACCACTGCTAAGACTGAAGACACGTCTGGAATGGTGAAATAATGACATTGCAGCATGAATGAACAAGAGCAGAGCTCCGAGCTCCAGACCTGCCTTCCTTCGTCTGCCAAGGTCAAGAAAAGACAAGCGCAGAGGGAAATCGCAGATTGCAGTTTCATTATCACTGCGGGGAAACATCGACGGTCACCGACAGATAATAGAGCAAAAGTCTGAAAACAACTCAGTAAATTAACACACTAAGAAAAACCCACAAGTGATGATTTAAATACAGCACATCTCTGTTGTATATTCAGTGCATCATTTTTTCCCCCACAAAGGGGCGCTGTTCACAAAACACCATCAAAAATTAACACTCACAATTAATCATCTTTGTCCAATAAAAATACCATGAACTATTAGAATCCCAGGTTATTTGTAAAAAAAAAAAAGGAGCTGCATGTTAGAGGAATAATGAAATTACAAAATAATTTGCCATTCAATCGATTCATATAGCACCAAAAGAAATGCACCTTTACTGTACCTGAGATTCCAGCCAAGCCGATCTTTAGCCTTACATTGAGGAACAGCTCTTGAAACCCTGTGTAATTCTACTTGGACTTTGTCCCTTAGCCGAGTGTAGGAAAGATGCTGGGTCAGCCATTTCAGCTCGTAGGCTTAATTATTACCGGCTTTTACACAGAAACTAACACATATTTAAGCCAAAACAAAAGGTTGTACGTTGCATTCATGTTTTAATTAAAATTTCACAATTATCAACTGATACATCTTTGCATTATTGTTGTCTTTGTCTTTGTATGTTAATGTACATTAAATATGTTTGCTGGGTATTAAAAAGAGGAGAAATGTGTCATACCCTAAAAATTATACTTTGCAATTGAACCACAAGTCCCAAGTGAAAAGTAAAACCCTTTATTGTAACAAAAACCTCACTCCAACCTCCCCCAAACATATTTGTAGCCAACTACAACTCACCCCCCACCTCAGTCAAGTGCACACCGATTTACACCGATTTCTATACATTTTAAGTCACTCAAAGTTGATATGAAAGCTCTTTTCCTGTTCCTTCCGCCGGCTCTCACACAGCTTAGACACTTCTTCGACACGCCTCTGTAGAAGAACTGTAGAGATGAAGATATCTTAGATACTACACCAGAAGCACCAGGGGAGAAGTCAAATCCAGTTGGAGGCAGGAAATGTCACTCTATAAGCATTAAGTCACCCTTTGACTTAAATGTAAATGAATGTGAAATTGCTCTCTGCTGGAGACAGCCCAGCAAGGCAGGGGAGAAACACCTACCTGAGTTTTGATCAACCCACTGAAGAGAGTCCATGTGAGCGTTCAGGATTTTGCAGATCTGTTGAAGCTAAGGGAGAGATACTTTGTTACAGTGGATTTGGTTTCATTTTTATTTCTACTCACACACAGCAGAAGCAGGTGGTGATAACACATCTGGTCGATCCTTCTGCATATCATCTCTCCACTAGCCTTATCTTCTCTGTTTATACCCACTTCCATCACTTTCCCACCCCCCCCCCAGAACAGTTGGTAGGGTCCGTCATACCGGGTCACTGGTGTCCGCAGGGCCGCTGGACGTATTGAGGTGCTCGATGATCTCCTTCAGATCCTGGGCCATCCTTTTGAGCTGGGCATCTACGTTCTCTGCCAGCTTGTACCTGAGTACAGGAAGGTAAGACAGTGCAGCTCAGGAGACCAAAGACACACTGCCTGGTCCTATGCAAGACCCCAAACACCTATAATAAAACCTCTATACATGGCATAGGGCGATACCCACTTAATAAAAACCATAGCTTACAGAGCATGCGAGAGACTGAAGAGGCTTCAAAAAAACTGGTTAATCAACACTTAAGTGCTACTACATCTGGCCGTTCATTAGTAAGACCTACGTCCTCTCCCGTTCCTCGTCGGCATTCTGCATGTAGATGGTGCCGCTCTGCTCCTTGACCGACTCCTCCAGAGGACATAGCAGGTCTTCCAGCTCCTTCTGCTGTGACAGGATGAAGTCCAGCTCCTGGTCCAGCCTGTGCACCAGCCATAATACAACCACATCAGGATCTTTCCTCACTCATGCCCTCCAAACATCTTCGGTGTGATACAAATGAAATCACCACTTTGTGTTCAACAGCTGCACAGATTATATTAGCATGAAAAATCTTCTACGACAAAAGGAGCATCCCAGCGTTTTCATGCAGCATGGGCAGCGTGACTCAACAACTGCGCCCACTACCTTCATGCATCTCATTGGACATCAGACTCTACCTTCTCTGGTCCAGTTTCACCTTCTCCATTTCCGTGTGCAGGGTTGTAATCTAGGGTAATGGCAGTATAACAGGAATTCTATAAGTTTCAACAAGTTAAATTTAAGACTTTAAGACCTTTTTAAGACCATTATAAATGTAATTTAAGACACATTTCACATCCAAACTGGTAAAAAAAAAAAAAAAAAAAACTATGAAGGATATGAAGGAAAATCTGAGTTCCAGAAATACTTTTATTCATTCAGCATGAACATTCAACTATTTTTCTTTTTTTTTGATGAGAGAAGATGCCAAGTTCTCATGTGAGTTAAAGGCTGACACACTAGGTAGGGTTATGCTCCAAAGAATTCTGACCAGGCTATACAGTTTGTAGTTAGTGGTTATTAGTTCCACCTTGGTTTCGTTTTGCAGTTATTTACAGTGTCATCATTACAATTTTCTCCAAAACACACATTAAAGAGAAAGACTTAAGCTAATGCAACTTTTTAAAAGTAATGTTGACTTCATAAAAATGTCATGACATTTTTTTTACCTTAAAATGTCTTCATTAAGACATTTTAAGGTAAAAAAAATTCAGATTAACATTGCTGTTTTTACTTTTTAAGGACTTATGAAATCACAGCATAATATTATAAGTCATTATTTCAAATCAATGAAACCGAAGATGCGGTTGGTCTCGTCAGGTGCCAGAAAAAGAACATGGTGTGTGAATTAGGTAGGCGCCCCCTCACCCTGAGGAAGCCACGGCAGGCGGGCCGGACCTCCTTACCTTCTCTCCGTTCTCGATGAGCATGCGGTCCCAGGCGTTGACCTGTGTGGCCTGCTGCAGGAAGTGTCTCTCCTGGTCTTCCAGCTCCAAGCTCCATTTGTTAATGAGGGACTCCAGTTGGGTGTAAGACATCACTGGCGGGGCACTGGAGGGGGGGGGGGGGGCAGGCAACAGGCCAAAGTCTGAGACAGGAGGAACCAAGAGAGACCCACAGCCAAAGACGAGCATGCCGGGCTGGCCTCACCTGACAGAGGCGGTGGTGGAGGTGGCGGTTAGGACAGTGCTAACAGGCGCCATGGTGCCTACAGGCTTCAGGCCCAGGGAGAATGACGTGGCACCGCTGATGGCTGCAGTTGCTAGGATACACAAGGATACTCACTTATGGCCGCCGCAGTAAAGTTCCAGGTAAAACTTAGGCAGATGTCGGTTCGCTGGCTGATACCTGTGGTGGCCGCACTGGTAGTCACTGCCCCCAGGGTTGGCTTGAGTAACAGACCCAGGCTGCCACTGGACACTGATGTAGTGGCAGTGCTGCCCGCTGTGGTCACCGATCCCACTGTCAGTGAGAAAAGGATCACTGGTTTTCAGAACCATCCCTAACATTAACAGTCCGAGCTGATGGCTCGTGAGAGTTTTACTTCTACAAAATGTACTGAGGGCAGAACAAAAAAAAATAAATTATTGGTTCAGAAAAATAGCCAATCAGATACTAGAGGAGGTGGGTCCAAGCAACTAGAGGAGGCAGGACCAAAACATCTGATTGGCAGGTCATACCACCTCTTCTACAATCTGACTGGCTCTCTCTGAACCGATCACTTTCCATTCTGCCCTCAGAACATTTTTGTGCAAGTAAAGCTCCCATGAGCGACTGCCTTCCAAGCTAAAACACAACACCGTCCAAGAGAATCTCTTAAGTATATTATCTTCGGGAAACCCAAATGCAGTCTAGTATACAGAAACTCTCATTTAACCCTAGCAAGTAAAGACTTTTATCATATTTGTTATTTTTAGGGCAGGACAACACCATGACTAAAGATAAAACAAAGAGCATTATGTCTGTGCACTCTACATGGAGATATTTTAATGTCGTCAATGTCATTTTTGGATAGGAAACGCACAGGTGAATCCCGCTGGGGCCGTAGGCGCTGCAGAGGCAATGGGTGCTGAGAAGAGGGAGGGGGCTGCAGCCTGGGTGACAGGAGCAGCGGTGGGGGCTGGAGCAGGGGTGGCTGGGAAAGAGAGGAAGGCGGCGGATGAACAGACTTGTGCATCACAACCTGAATAATCTCTGGCTCAGCTTCTAGGCCCAAATCAGCTACTTGTTTTTCAGCTGGTGGGTCATAAAACCATTTTCATTGGGTTGTGGAGTGTGAGGTTTAAAAAAAAATAATAATAAATTGAAATTTTTTGTGTTGGTCTTTTTTTGTTTTTCTATAGTGCATGAAGGCACTGTGCTATTATTGCGGCACTAATGTTCTATTCACTATTACCGCACTGATTTTTTATTAAATAAATGTGGTTCAAAATTTTAGAAAAAATGGGCACTGACTTAATGACCAAGGAAACATGCAGGTCCTGATCCTAAACCAGCTGAGAACCTCTGGCAAATGCATTGTTTCAACCAGATACGGCTGAAAAGAAGACTCCCAAGAACTACATTTGTGCAGGAAATATTAAGTCTTCGACATGCTTTTTCTCAGAATACCTGAAGGTTTGATTCCAAAAGCAAAGCCAGAACCCTGGATTGCGGCCGCTGCAGCTGTGGAAGCTGGGACAGTCGAACCAAGAGTCAGACCTGGACACAGAGAAAACAGGCCTCGCATTCAAGTCCAACACACTAAGGCAGAGGGCAAAAGAAAAAACAACTGAACTGCAATTTCAATTATACCTCAAAAAACACCTTAGTTTCAAATTAAATGACATCTTCACTAGTGCACAATTTATACTAAATATAGTATTCAATCAGCTGAAGTCGTTCTTTGATCTAGAGATCACAGGCAAGGAAAATCTATTAACTAACTCCTACAAGCATTTCAATAAATACTTTGTAACAATGATTACGATACCGTGTCTTAAAATAAATTCACTCATTGGTGGACTGAGTTCATTTAATATTATTGGGATGTGTGTGCACATTCTTATAGAAATATGAAGCAATATCTCACCGGGTGTAGGACCCCCTAGGGAAAATGTGGGCTGGGTTGTGGGGGCAGATGTACCGGCCCCAAAAGAGAAGCCAGCCCCAGCCGCTGCTGTGCTCGACGCAGTGGTGACCTGAACTTTGGTCACGCCAAAACTGAATCCACCCGACGGCTGGGCGGTGGAGGCGCCTCCGAGGGAGAAACCCCCTGCGGGTGGCTGGGACGTCGGCGCTGCTGCGGGTGCAGCTGTGGCTTGGGTGGACAGACCCCCCCCAAACGTAAACCCCGAGCCTGAGGAGGAAGCTACCAAGGAGCCCAGCGTCAGTCCTGTTGTGGCAGGCTGGGATGTGGTTAGACCCAGGCCAGGCTTGGGAGTGGAA